GAAACATCTAGCGAGGGGAGCAGTGAACCTTTTGGAAACAACACAACCCGAACCTACCGTGGATAGACACCTCAGTGAGCTCCTGGATAGAATGAATACTAAGGATTCGGACAGCGATAGTGATGATGAAGGTAATTATGAATGTAAGCTCGTAACGTCCGTTAACAAGATAAGCAATCCCTGTTTGGTAGATGTGACTATAGAGAATACAACTGTAAAAATGGAAATTGACTGCGGTTCATCGGTGTCAGTCATTAATAAGGATCAATACTTTTCTAGATTTGAAAACGAATTAAAAAACTGTTCCAAACAATTAATTGTAGTTAATGGAGCAAAACTTAAAATAGAGGGAGAAGCTGTTGTATTGGTCAAATACAAGGGAGTTGAGAGTAAATGCAAATTACTAGTGTTAAACTGCGACAATCAGTTTACTCCCTTGCTAGGTCGCGACTGGCTTGATATATTTCATCCAAATTGGAGGCACTATTTTACCAATACTCTTATGGTAAACAATTTAATTGATGAACGAAGCATTGGTTATGTGAATGAAGTTAAAGAACGTTTTGCAAAAGTATTCACCAAAGATTTTTCATCTCCCATATTGGGTTATGAAGCCGATTTAGTTTTAAAAAATGACGTGCCGATTTTTAAAAAAGCATATAGTGTTCCTTATCGGTTAAAAGACAGAGTAATTGATTATTTAACGAAATTGGAGAATGAAAATGTCATTACTCCAGTCAAAACGAGTGAGTGGGCATCGCCAGTAATTGTTGTGATAAAAAAAAATGATGAAATACGTTTAGTCATAGACTGTAAAGTTTCTATCAATAAATGTTTAATACCTAATACGTATCCGTTACCTGTGGCCCAGGATTTATTCGCCGGTTTGGCGGGGTCTAAAATATTTTGCGCATTAGATTTGGAGGGTGCCTACACACAGTTAGCTTTATCGGAAAGATCAAAGGAATTCATGGTAATAAACACAATCAAAGGATTGTACAAGTATAACAGATTGCCTCAAGGCGCTTCATCCAGTGCTTCCATTTTTCAACAAGTGATGGACCAAGTTTTAGAAGGTATTGAACATGTATATGTTTATTTGGACGATGTTTTGATTGCTGGAGACGATTTGGATGATTGTAAAAGGAAATTGTTTATTGTTTTAGACAGATTGGATAAAGCTAACATTAAGGTAAACTGGGAAAAGTGTAAATTTTTTGTTGAAGAACTGGTTTATCTGGGTCACGTCATAAGCAATAGGGGTCTTTTGCCTTGTCAGTATAAAATAGATACAATTAAGAATGCGAAAAGTCCTACTAATGTGGCGGAACTTAAATCGTTTTTGGGGTTAATAAATTATTACAATAAATTTATTCCTCATTTATCCTCAAAGTTGTACCACCTATACAATCTGTTGAGGAACAATGTAAAATTTGTGTGGGATATAAACTGTCAGACAGCCTTTGAAAAAAGCAAAAATTCGTTGATTGAAACTGATTTTCTTGAATTTTACGACCCTTGTAAGCCGATTGTGATAGTTAGTGACGCTTCCAGTTATGGCTTAGGTGGAGTGATTGCTCATAACATTGATGGAGTTGAAAAGCCAATAAGTTTCACTTCTTTTACTTTGAATGACGCCCAAAAATCATATCCAATTTTACATCTTGAAGCGTTGGCCTTAGTATGCACTATAAAAAATTTCACAAGTTTTTGTACGGACAAAAGTTTCAAGTTTTCACCGATCACAAACCATTGGTAGGAATTTTTGGGAGATCCGGTAGGAATTCAATATATGTTACCCGTTTACAAAGATTTGTTCTGGAGTTATCTATATATGATTTTGATATTCAATACAGACCGTCTTCCAAAATGGGCAACGCGGATTTTTGTTCTAGATTTCCGTTGAATGAGGTAATCCCAAATGAATATGATCATGATTTAGTTCGCAGTATTAATTTTGGGAAAGAGTTGCCTATTGACTGTGCGGTGATTGCCGAAACTACTAAGAGTGACAAGTTTCTTCAAGAAATCATAGGATATTTAAAGAATGGCTGGCCTGTCAAGGTGGAAAGAAGCTTTGTTGATGTGTTTTCAAATCAACACGATTTGGACATGGTTGACGGATGCCTTTTGTACCAGGACAGGGTGGTAGTACCACATCAGTTACAAGGGCACATTTTGAAGTTGATGCATGCTAATCACTCGGGAATGGTCAAAATGAAACAGTTGGCAAGGCGATCAGTTTATTGGTTTGGGATAAACTCTGCCATAGAGAAATTTGTTGCTGGATGTGATGTTTGCAGTAGCATGGCGGTAGTAAAGAAACCAAACATTGAGTCAAAATGGATTCCTACCACAAGACCGTTCAGTAGAATCCACATGAACTTTTTCCATTTTTCTCATCATACCTTTCTATTAATTGTTGACAGTTACTCAAAATGGATAGAAGTGATCTGGATGAAAAAAGGAACGGATGCTGGTCAGGTTTTAAAACAGTTGGTTGCATTTTTTGCTCGATTCGGACTACCAGATGTGGTAGTTTCAGACGGAGGTCCTCCTTTTAATTCATATACCTTTGCAAGTTTCTTAGAAAAACAGGGAATAAAAGTTTTTAAAAGTCCGCCTTATAACCCCTCCAGTAATGGCCAAGCAGAGAGGCTTGTGCGGACGGTAAAAGATGTTCTGAAGAAGTTTTTGATTGACCCAGAAGTGGCATATATGAATTTGGAGGACCAGATTAACCTATTCCTGATAAATTATAGAAATACTTGTGTGACTGGAGATGAAAAATTTCCAACGGAAAAGATTTTTACATATAGGCCAAAAACACTGATTGATCTGATGAATCCTACTAAACATTATAAAAAACAGTTGGTAACCCAATCTAATGAGGAGCATACAGAGCCAAATAGCGTGGGAAGCGTCCCAAAACGATCTTTTGATCCGCTGGATACTCTGACTGAAGGAGATAGCCTGTGGTATAAAAATAATAACCCACATAACCATCTTCGCTGGATCAAAGTATTGTTTATTAAAAAGTATTCTCTAAACACCTTCCAGGTTCAAATTGGAAACGCTGTAATCCTGGCCCATCGCAGCCAGTTGAAAGCATGTAAGAAGGTTGACGAGTTGTCAAGACCCAGCATCCTGCTACGACATCCCGTCCCAAACACGAGCAGAAATGTTGAGAGACCACATGACGTCAGGGAGATCGAAGAGGAGGGGATTATACCCCAAGCGAGTCAAGCGAATTCGTCAGATCAAGCAAGCCAATCATACCCCCAAGCGGACCACTCGAATCCGCTATCGAATCAACCAAGAAGTGTGAAAAGGAAACATCAAGAGTCGGCGATGGTGTCGAATCCCCAACTAAGGAGATCGAAACGCATGCGGGTTCAGAAAAAGGATAGCGATTTTGTGTATACGTGAAGAAAATGGAAGCCAGTTTTTCTTATCGAATGTATTATTAGTCACTGAAATTATTGAAAATAAGTTTGCAAAAAACTGTCGAAATTTGTACTTAAAGTTAGGAATTTTTGGATTATATAAATCAATCGATGTTTAATAAGTTATATTACTTGCTTAAGGATGGAGGAGTTGTTATGTACAACTCTTTATTGATTAGAATGCTTTTAGAGTGTAACGCACTAACGAACGTGCCCCGATCGCTGTCAAGAAACAGAGCGACAACATAGTAGGGAAAAGATACGATGATCGATACTCGAGAGTCGAGAATAAGAAATAAAACTGAGACTGGGTCTGATTATAGTTTTGGACATCGCAGAAACCAGTTGTATTTTATCTGACGGTCAACCTAAGGAAAAACCCCCCCCCCCCAGCAAACATAAAACATATAAGTTCCATTATTCTCATTCAAAATTCACGTAAAAATTATGTGAAAAACATTTCAAACGAAGCGGAATATCACGTAAAAGTTACCACCCCGATTTCACGTAAGCAGTAAGTGGAAATCAGGTCTTATTTACCTGCATAATTACGTAGATAATAGAAGCTGAGTTTTGATCGACTACGTGCAATTCCGGTAAAAGTTACGTGAAAAATAAGGTGGACGAAAACCGCCTATGTTTTCACGTAAATTGGACGTGACAATTTTTCAGAGTGTACTCTCCGTAATGTACGAGGTGAGACACAGAAGGTTGGAAGTAGTCGACCGCCCTGCCATGAAACCATGCTGACCTCCGTTCAAGTGCTGCTTGAAGTGAGAGACTAATGGTTCCATAACGACCAACTCGAAAAGTTTAGATATGGCACACAACGATGTGATGCCGCGATAGTTGTCGATGTTTCTTTTGCATCCCTTCTTATTCACTGGAAACATCTCAGCTGATTTCCAGCAAGAAGGAAACACCCCACTGGAGAGGGACATTTCGAACAGAAGGCAGAGAGGAGCCACCAGGCTATCGATGTGTTGCTTGAGAAAGACGGAAGAAACTCCGTCAGGTCCAGGCTTAGATGAAGACTTCAGTTGCGAAGCCGCCCTAGTTATCATAGCGAGGTCGATGTTGATAGCTGCCAAAGATTGACCAGACATTGAAACATTACTGGCTGCTAGAGAAACGTGCTCGTCAGAGAGGTTCTCATTCGAGAATACACTAGCAAACTTGGTTGAGAACCAACAGGGAATTTTAAGGATAATTCAAAAGAAATTCATAGGCAATTCTTAGAAGAGTTTCAAGGGAATTCCGAAAAAAAAGTTCTAAGAGAACTTCGAAGAGTGTTCCAAGAAAATCCTGAAGAGGTTTGGATAGATACTGAATCTTGGACATTTCAATATCTTGAAGAAAATTTGGTTTGTGATCAGTGTGTGTGTCTTCTGAAAATCCTATGCGTTTCTTTGACTAGTTTCAAGGGAATTACGGGAAAAGTTCCGTTCGCGGGCAGAGCCTACATGCGAACTCATGATTTGTTCCGGTCAAGCCGTTTACTTTGACGGTGACTGTCAATATTTCTGTAAAAATCTGAAAAAGAAAGAATCTTACCTCAATGGTGGGATAACGCGGATATTCCTTTCTGAACAGTTGGATCGATACGAGATCCTTCCAATACCGATTGGTTTCAATGTACAAGCTTTTCATTAGAATTACCACCAGCTGCGATCGTAAGATCAAACCGATCAGTTTGCCGTTTTCACGATTTCCCTAGATGAAAAAAAAATCGTCAGTACTAAAATTCCAAGTGTTGACCTCATTCCCATTTGTTACATTTTCATCGTCCTCAATAACCGGGAATCCATTGTGGGTGGTATTCTTCAGGATGTCGATGATGTAGTTCACCTTCTCCATCCGCCGCACGCAAACCACCGGCTGGTTCATAATATCGTTGGCAATGTTCTGCTGCAGGGCGGGGTCCACGTGCCACGGCAACATCGGAACCTTGGACGATTTGATTTGGTTATCGTAAACGCCCTCGTTGAAGTAATCTCCGCTCCACTTGGCCGCCATCAGCGTGAGAATTATCGGCAGAACGAATGCGATGTTTCCCGTAGTTTCCAGCAGGATTACACTCAAACTTAGTGTCATTCGAACGACACCGCCCAACTGGGCAGCCGCTCCGATCAGAGCATACTTACCCGGATTGACAAAGATCTGTAAACAATGAAAACTCTTGCAATTCGGTCACTTGAAATGAATGAATTTGACTTACACTTGAGCCCGGGAATGCCAGCACCATAAAGGAAGCGGTCAACCGTCCCCAGGCCGCTCCGACGAGCAGCGTCGGGATGAAAATTCCCAGCGAAACACTCAAGCCATAGGTCACGAAGGACAACGGATAGTAGATCAGGACAAACACAGCCAGCGTCAGTATCTTGTGCGATCCGGGAGGATCGTGGAACAGTGCCTTGACGGTTGCCTCCGGAGTTTGGAACCACAGCGCGGCAGCCGCATTGTATTCGTTATCTTCGCAGAACAGCTGTACCGGAGTCTCCGTCGGATCGTTTCCAAGCGGTCGGCAATCGTTGATCGAATAGGCCATTGCACAAGCAAAGGTAGCTCCTAGGGCCGCCACGAAAGCAGCCTCCACCACCCTGGCCCATCGGTACTTGATGAAGCGGGCACGAAAGATGTTCATCCGGTTGTTGATACTGTTCCAAAACGCTCCGGACATTCCACCAAACACACCCATCAGGATGAAGATCGGAAGTTCGTAGTATTCGAAAGGCAACGGTTCAAATTCGCCCAGATTGAACAAACCTCGGTACCGGAAGCTACTCAGCCCATGGTATGCAGAGAGCACGATGTTCAACGTGAATGAGCTAATGATGGAAGCGAAAAACGTCCTCCAAATCAAGGCTTGATTCCAGAAACTAGCCGCCTCCTCCAGAGAAAAGAGAATACCTCCGATTGGCGCACCGAAGGCCGCTGCCACACCCGCTGCCGCTCCTCCGACTACAAAATCTCGCTTCTCGTGATCATCGCGAAAATATTCAAACACCTTCAAATCCCTTCGGAACGTTGTACTTTTTCCTTGGGAAAGTCCAGCCGCAATCACTGCACCGCTGTGAATCATCGGCCCTTCCTTACCACCCGCCAGTCCACCAACTACGGAAGCAACCACACCGACCGCCTTCACAGCCAACGTTTTGATCCTCACAATCCGCGGAATCTTAACGCCGTTTAAGTAGCATTTGACCTGCGGAATTCCACTACCGGCCGCCACCGGTTCTACATAGGCCACCAACGTGGCCCCGATCATCACCGGAACCACATTGGTCAGCACCCAGTACAGGTATGGAATGCTGAGATCACCGTTCTGCACGTTCTGATCGACCTGTCGCTTCAGGAACGAATACTTCAGAAAGGATAACTGATCGATCACGATATTGATCCCGCAGGCCACCAGCGCGGTCCCGATACCGATCTGCATCGAGATGATCCACCGGGCAAAGTCCTTCCGCACGGTGGTGCGTTGTTCGATCTTACGGTTCTCCTGGGTCCATAGTACATTCTCACAGACGTCGTAGTCCAGGCTCTGCAATCGAAGAATATATTAGTTTGAATTGGGTCATGGTTTGAAATTGACGAAGCGACTTCTTCCAGCTCTAAGCTCCTAGGCGACATAACCACTGCGTTGCACTAGTAATGCATTAATGCGCGCACGAGAGATAGCGTCAATTGCAAAGGGGCCCTTTGTAGCGGAGCAGGGGATGTTTTTTTTTATCATGATGTGTCATAACGGAATACCATGATAATAAGTAAGTAATTCAAACCGTATACTATATGTATATATTGTATACTATCTTTTAAAGACAAACCTCACTGATTTCGCATAAATTTCAATTAAATCAATTTAAAGTATTGCTATTGGGTATTGTGTATTGTACTTCCTTTCCACATTCGGATATCTGGGTACCAGATTAAGTTAGGTAAAAGAAGAGGATTTCTTAGACGATATAGCAATACTGCCGCTCTTCGTTTGTCAGTTCCATAGTCGTTTTTGTCAAAACTGAGTTTTTCAATGCAAATGGTAGCTAATTACTCATATTTTCATAATATTGGATGAACTCAAAAACTTTATTCTGAAAAAGTTTGGAAAGACAGTCAAATTGGTTGTCCCATCACATAAGAAGCAATGGTACGAAGCAAGCTTAAAACGCCATTTTCTCGGCTTGCTGATTTCGCCATGGGACGGACATGCGAAGAACAGCGGAATAGCGATCATTGAAAAGAATTCACTTCAGAAAATGAATCCCTTTGATAACAATTTAACATAATGTCTGGATATACAAGTCACACAGCTGTTTGATTCATACTCTATCGAATTGAGGGAGCATACAACAACGTGATTGAATTACGACTCAGATGTTTGCAACAAGGGCTTGAAATTCAATACTACTTCCCTTCGACGATTACTCTACCCCGCTTCACCCACTGCTCCATACCTATAAGATAAGCAAGCACACAACTTGATACTGTCGGATTCGCGCTACTTAGTTCACGTCCCTTTTACAGCGACTCTGCTAGCCAACGAAGAATGCAAACATCACTAATGATGATGCAATACCTCTTACATTCTACTATCAACATATAGTGCTCCCTCTTGGGTGCTCCCTACTAGCAACGTTTCGACAGAAACGCGCACATATTTCCTGGAATCCAGCCAAGGCAGCACTTTTGAACGACTCACCTCATACTGCGACTGGCCCCCTTTCCGTCGTTTCAAGCTGAAAACTGGACCATTCTGGAGGGCGCTGTCATCGCCGTCCGGCGCCAAGTTGATGGATAGATCGCCCTGTTGGAAAATAAAAAAAAACCCTTTTAGTTTGATGACTAATCTTACTGCCATTGAATTGTGTCTTACGTTTGCGGAGGGACGGTGTAGCTCGTTATCGCTATTATCACCTTCATCGGAAGACTCCACCAGCGGTCGCATTTTCTGCGTCATCTTGAGTTAAACCTCCCAACTTATCTGAAATTTTTGAAACAACTTCGCAAAACTGGACACGGGCACAAATTTCCACGCGCCAGCGAGGAAATTTAGCAACGAATCGCGAGTATTTCCTCCAGTCTAAACCACTTCTGCTTTAATTTAAAGTTTTTTTTTTACCTGGAGGAATTCGGTTCGCACAAGGCACTTTTACTTTTCTGACTAATCGCTTTGTTTTTGATAGCAGCAGACAAACAACCCAAACGACAAACCTATATCAACACTTCAAAAGGGCGAAACTATTTTTATAAACATTGACTTAAACCGTCCATTTCTCGCGAACAAAAGCTGAAACATGTAAAGTAACGACACCAAAAGTTGGAGAAATATTTTCTCTACCAGCTTGTATCGTTAATTTGCAGGAATGTGATTTAATTTGCGAGAAATCGGCGGTTGAAGTCATTGTTTACAAAAACAGTTTCGCCCTAATGAAATATTGGTACCGAAACGAGAAGGATTTTTCTCTTCTTTCTTGGTTTGTTTCTTGTTTTGATTTGCTAGTTCACAGAAAGTATGCAAATGGCGCTGCAGTTGCAGAACGATTATTGAAGAGTAGAGTGGTTCTGATTTATTTTTATTTGAAAAATTGTGAGTATTTCTCGAGCAAGTATTTAAATGGACGTAAGTGCTATTGTAAAGAATGATTTCATACGACAGTTTATCGAAAATGATAGATCGCCCACGCAAGTGTCAGCTGCTCCCTCGGCTTCTCTATACAGACTTAGATTATTTTACAGGAGTCAGTAGATTTTTATTGGTTATATGAATTGATGAAAAACACGGTTCAAATTCAAATGACCGTTATCCGTAAGGACCTACACACCAAATTTAAATCGCTGAAAATCAGTAAATTTTTTGCTGATTTCAGACTTGATGAAAGATCAGCAAACTTTCTAGCAAAATAATGCTGCTGTATCTTCCAGCAATTCCAACTTCTGTCAAAATGACAATATTTTACTGAAAATCAGTAAAGATTTCAGATTTCATTTTGACTGATTTTTTTAGCAATCCCAAATTCTGTCATTTAGCAGCATTTTGCTTAATAGACTCAGTAAATCGATATTGTTCTTACTAGGAGCATGCAGCTTCTGAAGAAGATTGTTGATACAAAAATCACAAATAATATTGGCGTCTTGCAGTCAAACTTTTCCAAGCTTTTGCCTCCTACATTTCGAAGTGAGAACTACTAGAAAGAGGATAGTTTCCAATTTTTCCAAGTAAAACAGACGCTTTTTGGGGCAAAACGGTCCATAAAGAAAAACTAATAATTTCCCGTGGAAACTTTTGCTTAAATCGTGTAAGAAAACGTGTTTGAAAACTAATTGTTATTATTTCGGTTTGGATCGGAGAGGTTTTCATGGAAAATAATGCATAACAAGTTTGCACCCACAGCGAGAGGTTACCTCCTGCGCAGCTGCATTTTTCGGAAAATGGTGAATATGTGCGATTTCCACTAAGATGAAAGTGGAAATTAAGTTAATTTACTTAGGAAAGGTAGTATCATGCTGGTGGTAATAGAGAATTGGTTGTATAGGACGCCAATATTCAATAAATGTTCAGTTTGGCCTTTTCTAAGCAAACATATTGATACTCACAATTTTCGACGGAAAACGCAACGGAACTTACTTTACTCAACACGCACCATACTATAAAATGGTGCTAGATGGTCTTCAATGTAATAACAAGATGACAAATCATCTTTATTTTGAGTAATTGAGCAATTTACTTCTGTTTACATCATATTTACGATGCAGCATTGATGGAGCCGCGAAATGAAATTAATATATCTTATGAAAGTTCAACTGGAAAAGTCAAAGATGCACATCAGTCTGATCGTAAAAACGTTTTCTTCTTCAATTCGAATGTTATATTGGAAGGATTTTACCACAAACGAAGTGACAGACGGAGCGGCTCGAAAACTTTGGTGACTAACCTGCTATTGCAATTTTTCAGTGTACCACATGGCAACACCACTACTACTGGATTGTACCACATGGCAACACTACTACTAGATTGAACTAGCATTTTCACCAAATGTACTAGAATGTTTTGGTTCTATCTCTTTCACTCTACTCAAAACTGAAATGCATAAAAAAATCACAAAATGATACGCACTCTTTGCACACTGTCAAAGAATCATTGTACACAAAATCAACTTTGTTCAAATCAAAACAAAAAAAACTAACCCATCTGGTGGATGATGGCACAAGCTTCCAAGAAAATTCTATTACAGTGAACCACATTATTTAAATGGATTTCTTCGCCAGTTAGTCGTCTGTCACTTCGTTTGTGATTTTACACATGCTTGATGAAAATTATGATTTAATGCTAATTTTCACGAATTTTATATGCAGTCTGTCAACATTATCATCATCTTGCAGTGGCGACATCTGCGTTGAGCTTTTACGGCAATCTTCCAATAGAATCACCAACAAGATCAGCTGGCTCTTTGCCATATATATTTTATTATATATAACCAGTGTATTTACCAACATAATTTTAATTATTTCCTCCTCCTCCTCCGATGTAGACGGTGGTGCGTACTAGAAATACTCAGAGGAAGAGATAGGCGGAGAGAATGTTTTGAGCCAAATGAACTGTCAAAATCTGAGCCAATCGAACATTCCCATTAGAATTTTTCCGAGGATTTCTTATTCTTACTAGATTAAATTTGATAGTATTGCAATTGAACAGAAATTCAATCACCTTTATGTTTCGTGTTCAACTATTTTTTTTAATCAAAACAATATTCTAACTCTATTGATTAATTGATCTTAGTTGGTTAACTAATAGCACCAAGAAATGTGCAAAATATTGCGATGCACTCAATTATTATTTTGCACGTAAATCGAATCAAAAGTAAAAGTCATGTGAAATGCTAGCTTCTAACAAGGGTTGCAAGATAATTTAGTTACAATTAGTTAGCCCATCTCTCCCTCTGAGTATTTCTAGTGCGTACGTACTTGCGACTGTCACGCTAACAGTTTGACAGCTCATTAATGGGTGTCCACAAGGGGTAAGTCACTCAGCACATTGTGCCAAAATTAGATTCGGCACACTTTCGGCACAATCTCGTAGGCATTGGATTGTTGTAAATAGAATGGGAGCACTACTGGACAACTGCGATTAAAGCTGTTCACAGCATTACGTGCTATTCGACTGTATATTTTAATAATAAAATTGTTATGGTTATTTTGCCTAACGTCGTGCTTCGGAAATCATCCGTTTTTTTTTATTAGAGTATTCAGGAACATCCTCTTATCAAATATATATCATAGGAACGCAGACCAGCAGTTCACTTCTGGGTTCTATTATAGATATAAAACCGAAATGTAGGTTCTAGCGTGGGTCGAGAGAAAGAGGCAGTTAATCTGACCCCATTTGTACACTTAATTCAAATAATGCAACTCACACAAAACAAACTGCAGAAGTCATATTGATCATCTTCTATATTCGGTCTCCAATAATGTTCCCCACCGGTTGCTTTTTACATCACGATAGGCTAGGTTTCTCGTCTGCCTTTGAGGATTTTTATTATCCTGAAAACAAGAAAAATTTCGCACAACCGCCACTTCCCGCGTCATAGTGTATCGGCTGACGAACGAATACTATGAATTTGAGCATCATCTACAACCGATGAAGACATTGCATTTCTCCTTGGTTGCCACTAGACCGATTTATCCTTGCGATTTCAAACCAAAACATTCAAGGTGTCAGAAATACTGGGTTGCCACGTTAGGTATTTTACAAACAATCGCAGCTTGCTCTATGACCGGCACAACCGGCACACTGACAAACAGAAGGCCCAAGATTGGTGTACAGAGTGACCTACCCCTTGGGTGTCCAGCAAACTGTTTATGTTAGCTGTATTTTTCCGTAAAAAATATCGTTTGCTGTCTTTCAGTAAAGCATTGCTTTGCTGATCATGATCCAGCAATCCGTTTTACTGAAATCTAAATCTCAAATTTGGTGTTTAGGTAAGGACTCAACTAAATCGACACATTTTATTTACTCTCATTACATGGAGTTATCAGAACCGAGATCAGAACTAAGTCTGTACAAGTTTGGAAATTTTTTTTTCTCATTTATGAATTTTTCACAGCTTTTTAAACTTTTACCGAACAGTTCCGCAATTCAAAAACCAAGTAAAACCCTACTGGCTGGATTAGTGTGTACCGAGGGGGGAGACGGCTTTCATTTGAGTATCTCTTTTACTCAGAGTTGCTCAGAGCTACTCTGGTTTGCTCTGAAATTTGATCTAATTTGTGACGAAAAAGAATCAGTAGGGCATACAGTTTTGGAATCTGACCATGCAAATGTCAGTTCGATAACGAAACGAAAACAATGAATGAAGAAATTAAATGGATGCAATGTTTAAATAAGGAAATGATCTACCAGTTTATTAAAGTTTTGGCTATTTTATTAAATCACTCTGATGATGGCTTTCTGCAGGGCACTTTTCTCTTTGCAATGGTAATGAAAGTGACCAGGATCTTGCTACCGTAGTACCATGTAGTACTGAGCATCCAGATGCTAAGAACAAGCGAATGGATATTCCCTTCCGGTTACCAGCTCTGGTGGGGACATGTACTTGAGGATGAACTCTATGAGGGTCTCAGTTGCTAGAACAGGAAAATATAAACGTACAAACTATTCCACCAAGCCGCCACAGACGCCCCCAAAACAGCAACGTTATTGTGTGATGTTTGTTTTGCTAGCAGGTTCCCCGATGAATTGAGTATATTTCACGGCATAGATCACCAGCTGAAAACACTAACGTTCCTTTACACCGAAAACATTGACTGCTTGGGCTGCGCTGTCAAAACAATCGAGATAATAAAATCGTTCATCAGAGAGCAAAAGAGTTCCTCAGAGTTAAGGCCAGCGCACAATAGATACGTTTTCAGGTTTTTTGACAGTAAGCCCATGCATTATCTGTCAAAAAAACCTGAAAACGTATCTATTGTGCACTGGCCTTTACTCTGGATTGCTCTTAATTTCTCACTGTCTTCCCCTCGGTGTGTACGCTCCAAATGTGTAGCTCCAGGATTTGTTCAGTTGTCAATATTTTCAAATTTTGACCAAGTTATAAAATATTGAAGATTTTTCTGAGTGGCTGATTTTCTTTTGGCTTTACCTGATAGTCATCACACTTAGATTTTTTTCCCCGAGCTCGGCAATAAAAAGTGCGAAGTATTCAACAGCCGAGCCGTCGGATAATATCTCGGTAAAACCGGGTAAAACATTCAATTGCCGTGAGATCCTTGGTGAGATCGGCAAAGCAAAATTTACCCCAACTGTGAAATTTTGCCAAGCTCTCAGAAACAAACAATTTACCGTTTATCGGTATTTTTTTTTTCCTGGCAGTTTTTTGTATTTTTGTTTTTATTTGTTATTGAATCAAATCAAATCAATCAAGGCTTAATCAATAATCACGTCGGTCATAGCTTGTTATGAACAATGCGCAGAGCAAGGGGTAATCAACTCTGCACACTGTGCTGAAACACATCACGGCACACTGCTCGGCGCCCTAAGGCACTAGGAATCGGTGTCAGGACTAGGAATCGGTGGTAGATCTTACATCCCGAAACGTACCACGAAAAGGTGATCTACCCACGTTACGGGGCATGAGAGGTTACCACTACACCATCGGTGCCGCTGCATTTTCCAATAGCTGCTAAGGTTTCGCACTTTGTTGACAGTCGCTGATCTTCGCTTCAGGATGAATTCAATATTCCATCGAACTAGACGATCATATCCCGGGTTAGAAGTCAAACCTATCGGACTTTGCACGGATCCGTTTAATTCCCTGCAAGAATTGTTAAAGTGTGGTGATAAATAGCAGCGCCGAGATCATAGCCAGCAACAGCAATAACTAGATCACCCTCAGGGTCATCCACTTTTGCAACCAACGTGATTGCAACAATTGCTTGTCGTTTCCGGTAGCGACAAGATCGGAAATCACGGTTTACATGGGTCAATTCCACAGGCACGGTGGCCAAATACATAGCATCGTACAAATAATCCTCCTCGGATGAGCGATCTTCATAGCCACCGGTAGCTCACCCTGTTTAAGTAATCAGGATTTGTTCAATAAATATTAAAGGGTTATACGGTCAAAATTTGGTCAATATCAACTTGACGTATTTCTTTCAATTTTGCATTTAAAAAACCTGAACACCCCTCATTTTGAAGGTGTGTGTGTGTAGAATGTTGCTCCTATTTTGATTTTGGAATTCACTCTTCAGTTGTCAAAATGCCGTCCAAGCAAGAAGAGCAGCGTATCAAAATTTTGCTCGCGCATCACGAAAATCCGAGCTACTCGCACGCAAAGTTGGCGAAATCGCTAAAAGTTGCCAAATCAACCGTTACAAATGTAATTAAAGTGTTTGGGGAACGTTTGTCGACAGCCAGGAAGTCTGGATCGGGGGGAAATCGAAAACCGGAAGCCGCTGAGACGACAAAGAGAGTTGCCGGTAGTTTCAAGCGAAACCCTAACCTCTCTCTCCGAGATGCCGCAAATAAGCTGGGTGTATCGTCTACAACCGTGCATCGAGCCAAAAAACGAGCCGGACTATCGACTTACAAGAAGGTAGTGACTCTAAATCGCGATGATAAACAAAATACGACGGCCAAAGCGCGATCCCGGAGGCTGTACACGACGATGCTGACGAAGTTTGACTGCGTGGTAATGGACGACGAAACCTACGTCAAAGCCGACTACAAGCAGCTTCTGGGACAGGAGTTTTATACGGCAAAAGGAAGGGGAAAGGTAGCAGATGTTTTCAAGCACATGAAACTGTCAAAGTTCGCAAAGAAATATCTGGTTTGGCAAGCCATCTGTACCTGTGGCTTGAAAAGCAGCATTTTCATAGCTTCCGGGACTGTCAACCAAGAAATTTACGTGAAAGAGTGTTTGAATAAATGTCTGCTGCCTTTCCTGAAGAAACACGGTTGTTCCGTACTGTTTTGGCCGGATTTGGCATCTTGCCATTACGGTAAAAAGGCCATGGAGTGGTACGCCGCCAACAACGTGCAGGTGGTTCCCAAGGACAAGAACCCTCCCAACACGCCAGAGCTCCGCCCAATTGAGAAATACTGGGCTATTGTCAAGCGGAACCTAAAGAAGACCAAAAAAACTGCTAAGGGCGAGCAGCAGTTCAAGGCAAACTGGCTTTCTGCGGCGAAGAAGGTGGACAAGATGTACAAAATCTGATGGCAGGGGTCAAGCGTAAGGCCCGGCAATTCGGATTTGGAAAAGCGGAAGCCTAACTGAATATTTTTCCTGAATTTTATACTAATTGAACTTGAAAAAGAAATTTAATTTGATTTTTTAAATAAACGATTTCACCGATTTACACGCGTTTTCCCTTGACCAAATTTTGACCGTATCACCCTTTATCACTACATAGTAATAACAGCAACTCGATGATTAAAAAGGAGCTCGTTTGCCTAGTGGCAAACGTTTTTGCTTACTAAGCAGAAGAACGTGGGTTCAAACCAAAGTTCATTTGTGTTCTATGATCGTTAGGACATCAATTCAGCTTATCGTTTACCGAAACGAACCCTGCTGCAAATCCAACATTCTTACCCAACATCCCAGTGATTTCTCGTGGAAGTGCAGAGTGTCACGTCAACACATTTCTACCCAAGCATCGTCTATTGGTTCTCTGTGTAATTACCGAGGTAATTACAGCAGATCTGGCATTAACAGAGGAGCAACCGTAGGCGGTCAATCATGCTCAAAAATGGTCTAAAGTCCCAAAATGTATCTTGAAATCATACTTTTTTATTTCGTGATCGAAATTTGAAGTCCATGCATGAAATGTTTTTCCTGGTCTTTCCATCTTGAAACATTTTCCTCGTTCTAGAAGAATGAGATTTTTTCTTATACTGCAATCTAGAAAAGTTGTCTAGGTCACAGCGTTTTAAAAGTTCGTCTATGTTATATGAATTTCTTTATTTGTCCAAGTCCGAGACTTCGAACATTTTTCTCTGTGCCTCAATTTTTCGTTCTAATCACATCTCAACTTAGTAAATTGTTTGTTTTCAAACTAGGTAGAAAAATGAGTGCAGATTTTGGAAATGGAGGTTAGAATTGGACCATACTCTTGACTGATTTTTCGAGAACAAATGTATGGGATCTTCAACCATTTGTTTTATTTTAAAGAGCATGAAAAATGCTCAAGATGGTTTGTGAGTTTATAAAATATTTCGAAGTGGGTACCAATCAACGAAAGATTAGAACCGTATCTTTTCAATCAATAAATGTCACTATGGACCATCTTTTTATTATTTCAAAGCCACTATTTGGTCACTATTTTCATTATTTTAGTTACTAAACTCACTACTATTATATTACATACCCACTACTAGCCCTGAAAACATTTTCTCATATTAAGATTTAAAAAAGTACTCCCAAAAATCCAAATCACAACCCAATTCGTTAAAACTTGGCCAAATTGTTTGGAAATTCAATATAAAGTTCAAGCACCGTAATGTATTATTTACTACGTAAATTGTAAATGATACATACGATACATACATGCTTATAACAGGCTAGAGCGAGCAAACATTTATTAATCTTAATCAATATGTACATACACAAAATTTTATAAGATCAAATTTCAGTGTCAATACTGGGTTGGAAATAAATTATTTTCATACGGTTAACTATCATTATTTTCATATAATTCATTAGAAAATTTTCGGATGACATTACTGCATCAAGGAACATGTATTTTCGGAGATTTATTTGCATATTTTTCATACATATGATGGACTATTGATTATCTTTATTAGAGAGACTTTCAGCCATAGGCTTTTTCGTCTCTTATACGTAATATAAGAGAATAATAAAATATTACATTGTCTGATGAAGTGTAACCACATACATTACATACAAATCAGATAGATAAAAGATGACGAAAATGATCTCAAGTCAGCTTTTCTCATCAACAGATATGCTACTCACTTGTCTTGCTTGAATTGAGAAGCTTCCTGAAAAACTTTCATGCAAAAAGCAAACTCCACTCAGCGTAAACATTCACCTGATGGTGCTCACATTTACGTTCACCCACATCAAACACACCTTTGCCAAGAGGCCTAAAGTTGTTTTCGGTTCTGCATCTCTGTCTACCAGCCGGGCACTTGGCATCCATCTATTCCTTTCCAACCCACGTTCCCGGACACCACCAGCAGCGCAGCAGCATACACGCCTGTAGAAGGGCCTTTCGCGTGTAGCTTATACGCGTTGTTTTTACATGTGGATGCACTGCCGTGTGTATCTGTGTTGTACGACGAAGGGGATCCAAACAAACCGATGTTGGCTGACGGTTAAAGTCCCATCCCATCTATCAGCTATCCATCCAACCATATTCACGCCATCAGAGTAGTGGTTTCATTCGAATTCAGATTCATTAGCAGTTTGTACGTCGGCTGGAACACTTCGCTCTTTCTCTATCCGGGTGTTCGGTAGTGTGGTGCCCGCCGTGTATCTTCGCGATCCGCAACCAGTCTGACTCTGTGGTTCGGTGTGCTTGTGAGACGTGTCATAGCAGCTATAGTTGGCTACCTCCCCATCAATACTTGTTTGATTAGTTCACGACGAATAAGAAAAAGGTAGCTGGGTGTGGTGATTTAAGCTTAGAGAAGTTACTAATTGGTGGTGTAATAAGAAGTTGATTGTGAATTTCGGGATTAGGAATAACGATTTTTATGTGAAAGTGACCCCTGGAAAGTGAAGTGACCATGAATCGATTGAAGTTGAACGCGTTCGCGTTGGTAACCGTCCTACTGCCACTTGTTTGCCTCGCCCAGAGAACGCCATCTATTTCGTACATCACTCAGGAACAGATCAAAGATATTGGCGGAACGGTCGAGCTCGAGTGTTCTGTACAATATGCCAAAGAATATTCCGTCCACTGGATCAAGACCGGGCGCGATCGGTCCGACGTAGTGTTCCTCTCAACGGGTAGTGCCCTGGTTCTGAAGGACTCCCGTTTCTCGCTCCGATACGATCCATCGTCCTCCAGTTACATCCTTCAGGTCAAGGATATCCAGGAAACCGACGCTGGAATCTACCAGTGCCAGGTTGTGCTCTCGGTGACCAACAAGATCACGGCCGACGTCGAACTACAGGTTCGTCGCCCACCCATCATCTCCGACAACTCCACCCAATCGTTGGTCGCGTCGGAAGGTCAGTCCGTCCAGATGGAATGCTACGCCTCGGGTTATCCGGCACCACAGATTACCTGGCGTCGCGAGAACAACGCTATCTTGCCAACAGGTCAGTACCATCAGTCTTTTCTCTTCTACGCGCGTCCGTCCATCATGCTATATTACATATTATCACGATTTTCATCCTCACCGAGAAGTGCTTCATTCTGCCCTGAGATGGTGCTGGTTGTCTTGTTGATCTTTTTCATTTAGGAAGAAAAATGTTCATTCCTTCCCGAACGAAGAAGCACTAATACGTGCGGTTATGCGACGACAGGCCTTTCCATACTACAAGCAAGCCATGACGAGACGATCAAGACGCGGGGAACTGCGAAGAAAAGAACAAAAGAGCGATCGCAGTTGGCTTGCTAAATTATTTATTGTTGAATCATTATTTAGGTGGCGACGAATGCCTGCCGTGTAGGATGACTCATACAATAACATAGGGTTTTGCTGGGTCGGAAAGTGTTTGGATGGGGGTATTACTTGGGCTTATCCCAATTACCGTTTTTTGGGGCCAAAAAATAAACATTGTTCAATATTCCAGTTTCCACGCCATTCAGATGATTAGGTGTTCTTCTGGCTTCATTTGTTATGTGATTCTTATTATAATGGTGATTCTGGTTGAATGGTTACCAAAACGTAAAATTTGTGGAAAACACCCTGATCTAGATTAATTTAATTTACTTTCAACCAAATTTACCGAACGAAGAAGCCCTACTACTTTTTGCACCCATAAACGTTCATCTCGAGTTTACATTAAAGTTTAATTATAATTGAATTATTAGTTGAAGTGTGGTTACAAAACTTTTTCTGGACTAACCTCGAAAGCTCCGTAGATTCACATCAGGTCCACCAGCCCTTTAAGTTGATAGTGCGTAATGTGATCGTCAAATTAATGCAAAATTTTTCTTCGAATAGAAAACTCTTTTTTGGAAGCCTAAAAGAAATGTTCCCTGGGCGTTCCCAGCACGTTGAGAGATTTCAGGGAATCTATCCGGAGAACTTTGTTGACGGTTTCAGAGGACTTAGTGAAGATAGTGACTGGTCTGGAGGATTTGTGAACAAGATTTGAGAATATTTGCCGACAAATGTCAAACACTTATGTCACAAGGAAACTTGTACAGAGGATTTGTACAGCAAATCCAGAATTGGCTAGTCCGTTCTACTGAATAGAGTATGGTCTCCATTTCTACAGCAACGGGGTAAATCATATTGCGGCCATTCAGCGAAGATGTGTACGCTTTGCTATTCCGTCGGATCGATCATTGATTGCGGCACACTTCTACAGCAATTGAATGGTGATTGATGTCAATATCGGGCGAGTAAAGTTACGTTCTCGTTATTTCTTCAACATCCCAACCTCTTGCACAAACTAAATACGGTACTAATAACGATTTTCAACAAATGTTACAGTAGTTTGGATTCATCCAGTTTTAACGCTAGTGTTATTTAAATAAAAGTTGAATCACCCGAGGAATCACCCCCATTTGACATTTGACATTACACGCTTACTGTTACAGTACATTATGGCAGCATCTAAGCATACGTTGATTTCACAAAACATAGACCTGCTTTACCCCGAGCTTTACCCAGCTATCAATTCCTTCTGGAACCGGGAACATGAATGTTATTTTTGCAAGGCGATAGATATTCACAAATATTTTTTTTTAAATCTTTCTAAATATTCCTCCAATTATTCAGAATGATATGGAGGCACTTTCGTGATTTCTAGTGGATTTGCTTATTTCAAAGTGTCACTTGAGGCTTCTCATTTGTGAGTGTGGAAGACGAGGCGAGAGGTGTGGGGGTTCAGCTTCTTCCTGTTATTATCTGCTGAATAAGCTTAGTAATATTCTTAGCTATAGTAGCTAAGTAAAATGGTGAAGATTAAAAGTCAAGGAATTTCGCAAGACTCCCAACAAACTATTTTAGCTGCAGATTAGCTTATTCAGCTCATTGTTGCCTGTATAAGCTAGTCTGCAGCTAAAATTGTTTGTTCTCTGGAGTCTTCAAAAATGAATTCACAGAATTTGAAATGTTTTCAAAATTAAGACATATCTTCAAAACGAATGAAGAGATTCAACCTTCATATGAGACGTTTGCGTGTAGCACAAAAGTTAACAAAGGATCGAGGGGTGCGACACATCTAGGTTGTAGCAATTTCATCGTGAATTTCCCCAATCTTATAAACATCTTTTCATCTGTTCTCACCTGTGCCATCTAATCTCACACTTCTCGAATTTTTACATCTACTCGCACATCTACTCGCACCGCCTGCACCTAATCGCATCGCTCCACAAACGAACGAACAAAACAGCGAAGCAACAAAAGAAAGCAGTGTCAAATTTGTGTTTGTTTATGGTTTGGTGTCTCAGGTTTTGATGGTTTCTGCGGTTTCTGCTGTATTAATTTGCCGATTAAAACATGAAAGGACGTGTATTTCTGCTGTTTTTGCATATTTGCTTAGTCATCTTTAATAGATGCTACTTCTTAACATGGTGAGATAATCAAATAGAATATCCCTTACAGTTGAGCTCATTAAATTGTCACTACATAAAAACTGATTATTTCGACAGAATCGAGTGATCCGATGGACAATAAACCGCTGGACGTTGTGGAGAATGATGATTCGGATGGTAACTACTTTGATGAGATGGAATTCCTTACTAACCTTATAAAATACCTGATTCCGGAAGGGAAATATCTCTATGTGCAGATTAATCTTCAGCAGATGTATTTCGCTAGAAATGGTCATGAACAGCTGCCCTATCAATACCAGGAAACGAAATCCCAGCAACAATATCCTCGCATAAAACATCATGAAGAGGTTTTCTACTATGTATAGCCTTTTCGAGCGGTAGGTTTGGTTACGTCGCTGAAACAGTTGCACGAAACACAAATCCATGTTGTTCTTACTTTTTAAGGAAGCAATCGCCACTTAAAGCCATCGTAGGAATGGCTTTATACAAAAGCTGATGGACTAATGGTGCTGGTGAACTCTACCAGCTACACCAATGAAAACTACGGACCACTTCATCGGGCTACGGTGTTACGTCTAATCAATAGCAATTCAGACATAATTCGGCGTATGGCTAGGTTGTCACTGTACACATAACTGTTTCAGGTTACAAGTTCCTTAGAGCATGAAACAGTTATGCAACAGCCGGCACCATAGCACCAATAATCAGCACTATTTCGAGTATGAAGCCTATACGGTTTATATAGTATTCAACAAGTACAGATTAGTTTTATTTTTCAGAAATATAACTCTTTACTTAGACGGCGTCGGTGATTGCGCGGTAATCGTGACTGCTTTATCACACCAGTGGGTCTAAGTTCAATCTTAGCCAAGGAAAACAAAGCTTGCATTTTCTGTGGTTGGTATCAATGAAAATTTATATTTAAAATAGCATTTAAATGGGTTTAAATGGATTAAATTTTAGAAATGAAAATTACAAAGTTGATGCTTTTATTTTTCAAGAATGTAGTTCTTGTTTTATCACACATTATGAAAGTAGATGTCTATTGATAGTGCATAACAAAATGTTTAAAAAAGTCCAAAAGGAGGTTATTTGTGTTAGTAGTCATTGTGAGATTTGATTAATTAGATTAAATACAAAATTAAATAAATTATTTTAAATGCAGTTCTGCATTTGTGTACGCATAGGTGCGTAAAAACAGCGATTTCTATTCTAATGTTTTTGGTGCGCTTAGAAGCTACAACAAACAATTACTTCAATACATGTATTGATAACATCGGGACAATGTTACAACATGATTACGACCAAGTAATTCTCGTCCATTCCAGGTCTTTCAATCCCATCTGACTTTCACTGAGACAATCTTATTTTTCCTCGGACAACCACCGAAACCTTGAACGTGGTTATTGTCTGTAGATGAAATCAAGGACGAAGTGGCAAGAAATTTGAAATTGCACAGTTGGTTGAACGTTGAACCGTTTTTTCTTTATCGGCCACCAACATCTGATGCACTTATATGTATCTACAAGAGACGAAATATGAATCATTAATATTCGAACAGTAACGCAATTGTGACTTAAAACATCAACTTCACCAAACTCTGCTCTTACTGCATCTATAGAATGTTAGGTCTTCATAAGCTGGATTGCATCTTCGGATGAGCCCGAACTGGAAGCGCTAATCATGATTTCAATAGCAAACCGGAGGTTATCGGATTCTGTAAAAGGTGTGGATTTTGTTTGGAATGTTTTCGAGTTTGAGAAAGAATTGAATGTATGTAAAACTGTCGACTAGTAGCTAGACTGTCTCGGATCAGTGGAATCTACTGCTTTAGGTTGGTTACAATGGTCGAAAATGTTGCTCTGATTACCAACGTGCCAGTAAATTTCTATCAGCTTATGAATGAATGTCTGTAATAGTAAACTCGTATCGAGATCCAAGACAAACATTTGGATATTGTTGTGATTCGATGATAGAGGTCGTTTATATCGAAGAGGTTCACTAGGCTAATGTAGCTCTTTCACATTTTTATATTGAAAATATGCAGCCAGTATTCGGTCGTCATGAGAATGTAGCAAATTGTTCGGGTGTAATACAATGGTGGCCAACATCCTAGAAAAAATGTGAATAACCAGTCCGGCTGCTGTGGAGTTGTTCTGCAGATCTCTAGTCACATTATACTAGTGATCAAACTCGTCAAACTATTCAGGTCGTCGGGTCTTCTGGAATATTCTCTTTTAGAAATGAGCGTAACATCATTATTGTTCAAATGAATTATATATTTAAGTATAATTTAGAAAGTCGGAAATATTATAATACGTGGGCAGCAGCTGTTGCTGATCAATCAACTCCTTTTGGTTTTATCAATAATGACAAAATAACACATGAACCACACCTCGATCAAATCCATAACTTCTTGTTGACAGCAACTTCCACCGGTTTTGACTCTTCCAAAATCATCTCACTGAGTAGTTTTTCTAGCAGATTCCTCGGAGGTGGTAGTCTTTTGTATTGCAAACAAATTCCTTAACGTCGAGTGCATTTATTTGGCGATACAACATCTTGATCAGTTTCTCTAAAGTGAAGA